TCTAATAAAGTTGCCTAATAAAGTCTTTTAATTTTCTAATAAAGCTTATCCCAGAATGTGACCTATTAAAATTCTTACTTTTTTGAATTTATAAAAAGTTGAAGCATCTTTTTCAAGGACTTAACTTCCTATGATGAATTCCTTCTCATTTTTAATTCTGTGATTTTAATAACATAAAATTTATCCAAAAGCAATCTTGCCATTTCAACATTGTAAGATAAATGTATACCTCATAAACATCACTATTGAAATGAGGTAAAATTTTGTTGGATATTTTAAATATTTATCAACAGTATATTCGTAGTGTCATTTTTCTTATGACAGTGAATGAATTTTACTCAGCACCCTTTAACTTCTGTTTTTCATTTCATCCCTTATCCATCATTATTAGAAACTGTGGGATAGCTAAGGACATGCCATATCACTGAATATTGCAATAAATTTCATTCAATTCATAAAGGCATGTGCATGTGTTTGATACAGCTGGTTTAGTTTTCTCTCTCAGTTTCACATTTGGGGCCTTGGTTTAGTTTTCTCTCTCAGTTTCACATTTTGCTTCAAATGTTGAGTATGGAGTTTATATCTAATATTTCCTCATTTCTCCTTTCTTATTCATATATTCTCCAAGAGTCAACAGTCCCATCAGTCCTATCATTAAGGTTTCATTTCAGGTGTGGAAGTTGCTAGTCTTGATAACACAACCATAATATTAAAGGAAAATAATATCATATAGAAAATTCCATCTTGGAAATCACAGTTGTGAAAGATTTTTCTTTTAATCAGAGTAGAAACACTATAAGGAAAGATAAACCACATAGATACAAACAAGGAGATACTGGAGGTATGTTAAGCCTGGTTACAGTGCTAAAGCACTGTGTGAAATTCAACAAGAGTTTGAAGCATTCTACTATATTATGTAAACAAATGTGAATTAGTCAGTTTACTGTCCTTAAAATTAAAGAAATATTTTTAATGCATTGCTTTTATCCAATGAAAGAACTTTACATAATTGGCTAAAAGATATAGAGAAAAGATAATTTTTAATTGTAATCTTACATGTACTTATCTGTAGATAATCTAAGTTCAAAAGTGAAATATAAATATATAAAATTTTAAGAACTTACAGTGTGTATAAGTGTAATATCATGCTAACCCATGCCTGATTCGCTCATATCCTTCTTACTGAATTATACAAGGTTGGTTTATGGCTAGTGTAAGCCTGGATATATAGCCATCAAAACAAGAAAAAATGGAAACATTTATTCAACATTTGCTTTATACTGGGTACTATGTTCTAATATGTTTACTTCATTTAATCTGTATGATAAGGATTAAATGCACTTATATGTACTCTGAAGTGAAAACTCCAAGGCTAGAAAAAGGTCACTCAGTATGTAATTGTTTTGGCAGAAGTACATTTCAGACCAGAATGTTCTGACTCTAAATATCTCTGAAACCAGTTTTTCTCAAATTATCTATGATGAAAGGCTAAATTTCTATAATTCCAATATCTCACAAACCAAAGCTTTTGTAAAGTACAACAAAATGCACAATTAAAAAATTTAAAGACATAAAAATACAAGTCCAAATTTTATTATTAGGTTCAGCAGACTTAAAATTACTCTGTCAAATTGTTATAAAAATGTCAAAGTGATAATCCTCAATTTTGTGCTTATTGTCAATGAATAATGAACAATTGATGGATAAGTCCTAGTCTACACACCACAACTTTAGTAGGTAGCCAACACACTCCCAAATCTAAGGGCCTATCAGTATTGGGTGTTTCTCAGAGAAATTTGTATTGAGTTAACAAGAATCATGACCAAATGGAAAATATGCATGAATCTAGTGAAATGTTTTACCAATTACATACAAAGACATCCACTTTCTAATCAATTTGTGAATGTGTTACCTTAAATGGCAAAAGTGACTCTGCAGATTTGATTTGGTTAGGAATGTTAAGTTGGAGTAATCATCCTGGATTATCTGACTGGGCCCAGTGTAATCACCAGGGTCCTCATAAGAAAGAGGTGATAGAGTTAAGTAAGAGTCAGAGAGAGAAATTTGGATGTCAGAGAGAGAAATTTGGAGGTGCCACGCTGCTGGCTCTGAAAAGAAAGAAGATACTGCAAACAAGGGAAGCAGGTGGACTACAGACACTGGAAAAGGCAAGAAACTGGGTTTTTCCCAAGCACCTCTTTAAAAAACACAGTCCTACAAACACCTTGTTTTAGGACTTATCACCCCCAGAACTGTAATATAATAAATTTGTGTTGTATTAATCTACTAAATTTGTGATAATTTGTTATTTAGTTTCCAATAGCAAGAATTGAAAACTAATATAGATTTTGGTTCTGAGAAGTAGAATGCTGCTAGTTACATATACCAAAAATATAAAAAGTGGCTTTGAATTGGTAATGGACAGAGTTCGGAAGAATTCTGAGGAGCGTGTTAGAAAAAGTCCTAGCTTACCTTGAACAGACAGTGATTAAAAATACAGATGTTAGAGGCTCTGCTGGTGAAGACTTGGAAGGAAGTGAGGAACATCGTAGAGAACATTTTTAACTTCTGGGAGAATACCTAAGTCATCATAAACAACTATTGGTAGAAATATTGACATTAGAGGAGAGGCTAGTGATGGCTCAGATGGAAATGAGTAACAGGTTATTGGAAATTAGAGAAAAAAAAAAAGAGAATCTTTTTGCTATGTAGTGGCAGAATGCTCAGCTGCATTTATTCCTAGAGTTATATGGAAATTATAATTGTAAGTGATGAACTTGGTCTGACTTGGACATTTAGCTGATATTTCTAAGCAAGTGTTGGAGTGGCCTGGTTTCTTCTTGCTGCTTATAGTAAAATGTGGGAGGAAAAAGAAGAATAGTGGGAACTATTAAGCTAAAAGGAACCAGGATATGATGGTTTGGAAAATTCCTAGCCTATAAAAATTGCAAAGGACTAAAATTAGGAGACTCGGTTTCTGAAAAGCATGCTCAGAAAGAAAGCCAATCATACGTCTGGATAACATTTTACTAGTTTCGCCTATGGATTAAAAGCTCAGAGTAAATAGAGGGCTCATGGAAGAGATTAAACATGTGACTCATGGACCCCCTCGACCATTTCAACAGGCACCAAAAGTGGAGATAGGATCATTCAGGAAAGATTGTGGAGGAGTCTGTTTTCTAATGGAGTGAATTCTAAAGATGCACATGGAAAATCACGAGGTTCTTGAGACTGTTATAATAGTAGAAACGCTGTCAGCTTGGACTGAAATGTACAGGGAAAGGATGAAATTCAAAAAGGCTGTTGGACTCCCAAAATTCTACAGGAAGAAAATGGGATGACAAAAATATTCAGCTGAAAATATATGTAACACTTTGTGAAAAATAAATAATGGTTATGAGAGTGGAGGAGCAGGCCCAGACAGCAGAAACTCAACCCACAGAGGATTATTCACAAGCCTTGAAATCTCATGCAGTTTGTTCAGGTGGATTTCTAAATTTCTTGAGATGGATTAATCCTTTTTCCTTTGATTTTCTCCCTTTTTGAATGGGAATATCTATAACCATTATCCTGTGTCTGCTCCACCACTCATTTTGGAAGCATGGGATTTCTTCTGTAGTTTTATGGATAAACAGATAGAGAGGAATTTTGCTTGAGGATGGATTATAAACACATCCTTGCCCATGCCTAATTTAAATAATTAGATAATGAGATTTGGGGCTTTTAAGCCAATGAAATTTAGATAAGATTTTGGACTGGAGTTGATGGGTTGAGACTTCTGGAGACCTGAAGACATGGTGAATGTGTTTTGCTTGTGGGAAAGAGATGAATCTTTGGAGGCCAGAGGGCAGACTGGGCAGGCTGCATCATGACCCCCAAAGATAATCACATTCTTATCCTGGAAACTGAAAATATGCTGCCTTAAATGGCAAAAGGGACTTTTCAAATGTGATTAGGTTAAGGATCTTGGGATGGGAGATTTTTCTGGAGTATTTGAGTGAGCACAACATAATCAAAAAAGTCCTTAGAAGAAGGTGGCAGGAGGGGCAATGCTAGAGAGGAGATGGGAGGATACACAGAGAGGTCAGAGAGAGAGTTGAAGATGCTGCCTTGCTCACTTTGAATATGGAGGAAGCTTCAGGCCAAAGAAGGTAAGTGGCTTGAAAAGCTTGAAAAATCAAGGAAATGGATTTTCCTCTAGAGCCTCCAGAAGGAATATAGCCCGCCAATACCTTGACTTTAGAGCTTCTGACCTCCAGAACCATCAAATAATAAATGTATGTTGCTTTAAGCCACTAACTTGATGATAATTCATTACAGCAACTAGAGAAAACAAATACAAATAGCCTCTAATTTAATTTGGTGTAATAATTGTTTACAAATATATCATTGAAAGCTTGAACTTTCACATCCCAGGAATTTCAGAGTTAATATGGCAAAAAAAAAAAAAAAAAAAAAAACGTGATTCACAAGACACTAAAAATTAATTTTTGAAACTTAAAAATCCTGACAATTTTTTATCTGTTGACAGTCATCTTGTGGAAATATGACAACTGTGACAACATAAAAATGAAACATCTCATCACTCCAACAGGATAAATCCTTCCTTGTAAACTAAAAGAAAAGTAATTCAATAAATATACCTTGCTCTCACATAGTCAACAATTTTTCTTAACTGTGCATTAGCATCCGAAAGTAAGGGAGGAAAGGTTTATTTAGACTTTGAATTCATTACTGCAAATGAGGGCCCCCTTCACTACGTCCCCCTCTTCAATTATCTCATCAACTTAATTTCAAAAATCATATAAATAGTTTTTAAAAGCCACTTCAAATCTTACAGGGCAATGAGTTTGCCCAAAGTTCAGGCAGTGATATATATTCAGTAATCATCATGATAGCATGATTTGTTCTCTTGTAATGATTTCTAAATTCTTTGGAGAATCATGACAAATAACAATAAAAACATATATATGTAACAAAGTGTTTAAAGCATCCCTTACCTGAGTGACAAGTGGCTCCAACAACCTTTCCACTGTTAGTGTCCGAATTTCCAAACTTTTGGGGTCCCATTTTAAAATGATAGGTGAAGTTGCCGAAGTCATGCTCCCTATTGAAACACATGTTACTAGTTAGAAATAATGATCATCAAAATAAATGTTACTTTGGGGGTTCAAAATCAATAAATCACTGAAACTTGGAAGGTATTTGGAGATTATCTCTCTGGTCCAAGTTAGAGATGGCAAAACCAGAACCAGTACTGTGTGAGGTGGCAGTGTTGGACTCAGATTAAAAACTGAGGGCCCTGAGCATACTGGTATACATCAGACCAACTTTTGGGACCCATCTGCCACTTGAATATTTCATTCACTCAGTATTTAGTACCTGTACCTGTCTGCTATGTGCTGGGAAACACTTGGATCTTGCCCTCAAGTAGCTTATGGTTTAAAGACAGAGACAGCCAAGTCCAAGAACGATTATTCCTCATTGTGACACATGATTAAAGAACACAGAGAGAGGCTACAGGAGAACTGAGGAAGTGACATTAAAGTCAGTCTGGGGAGACCAGCAAAAAATGTCAAGAAGCAAAGTAAATTCATCATGATCACCAGATGCAGGACCCCCTGTTATTACAAGAGGCTACTTTGTTCTCATCACATCCATCCGAACTGACCCCAAAGGATATCTTACTCCATGGAACAACAGAGTTTCTGTCTTTTAAAGATATCTTGCAAACTCTGTGCCAATGGTTCTGAAAATTATCTTGCTGCTATTTACATGCTTTCTGATTACTTACTACATTTACATTCTTGTCCCATAAAATTAGTGTCTGATAAGGTTATTTATGTCATTCTAAAGCAATCTTCTTTTACCTAAGAAGCACTAACACACAGGTAGCAGCCTGCCACATATCAAGCACAAAATATGGTCTTGGCTTCAAGAAAAAAAATTATACATTTTATCAGGGGTGTATTTCTTATCAAGAAATTGCTGAATATATTTTGACATCTAACCACTGGACAAGCAACCTTAGATTATACAAACTGAATCTGAATTATTTGCCTTAATACCACCATAAATCAAAGTGTTCATGGCTGTTCTCTTATTTTGAATCAATGTCTCCACTCAATTCTACCCTTATAAATCAATATAGATGAGTATTTCTACTACAATTAACACTGTAAAGAAGGTCTGGCCCTCCTACAGCTAATCCTTTTGCAAATAGACCCAGCCAATTTGCTTCTGGGAAAAAAAAAAAAAAAAAAAAAGGAAAGGCAAAAACACAGTGTACTGGTATTTTAGCTCTCTCCAAATGCCATGTTTTAAATAAACTAAGCATAGCAATCCAACCATACAGACCGATTTAGATTTGGGTTCCTTCACCACAACAATAGCTGGCACTGACATGCTGCCTGTCCTCCAAAAACCTAAAAACACTTTACACATTTCCCATTCACACTACCAACTGCCACAAAGCAGCTCTGACATGCAAAGAATTCTGCTGCTGGGGAGCATGCCTTCTCATGTTGCAGAGGGATAAAGATGCCAGATGCTTCCTGCACACACTGGGATACCTTCGTCCTTGCTGAAGCTAGACCTACCTAAATGATTTTGGTCCAGTATTTATGACACAGTTATTGCAAATTTCTAGGGAAGTTCCCTAAGAACCCTTTTAAAACTCTGATAGAATCATGAGTGGCATAATAATGGTGATGAACAGCGAGTGCTATAGGAAAGCTGGGTAATTGGTAGTGAAGAGATTTTAACACGGTAGTGAAAGGTACTGGGTAAGACTGTGTCGAGAATTTCCACTGTAACATGAGCATGTCTGTGTACAGCTGGTGGATCAAGGAAGGCATACAAACTCTTTTACAGATGTTCCAATGTGTAACTTTTAAAAAAATGGCACTCAAAAAATGCTGCCACAAGAAACAAAAAATGATGGTGCAGTCACAGCAGAGACCCAAATCCGGCATGCATCAGGCAGAAATCAGTGATACCCCTTGAACAAAGACCTCAGGCCACCTGTGTGCCAAGAAGCAAGAGTTAGTTACAGCCTTGAGCTCTGAAGGTCACAGAGGCCATATAAATCTAAAAATGAAAGAATAAGAATTCCCGGACAAATCGCTCAACTTAATTTATTCCCTTGGGGATCAATCTTCTCAGTCATTTCTTGTGACACAGGTAAAAATTCAATAGCAAAAAGGCAAGAAAAGGTCACATGGTATTAATCTTTTGAAAGGAAAAACCTAGCCATAGAAACTTTAAATGCTGTTTTCCAGCCATGCTATTTTTGTTACAATTGGGACTAAAACCAGGAATTCTTATCTCTACCCCATAATCTTTTCACCATTTGGTTTATGAGCCACAGTGACAATGACCAAAAGGATGGGGGTTTGGGGTGGGAGTGCAAAGTCCCTACCTCTAAACTCAGGATGTTGAGATCTAAGATTCCCATAGAACTGCCTCTAGGGGTGATCTTAGCTTGAATTCAAATATTGAGCACAAGGTAAAAAAAGGTAAGAAGTTCTCTTGCCTGTGGTACTTGAGCTCGTGTAATCCTTGCAATATGCTGTTTTTAGAAAAAGTGTTTGTCTTGCTATGTCCTACTATTTTCGGCACATTTGATTGCTTTCTACTGTATGTATTAGACCTTATATTAGAAATATTTTCATTATCAAGGCCCTTGGCCAATTGAAATTACATGAAAACAGAAAAAAACTGATTCCATTCCAGGTTAGTAACCATGACCATAGTCTTCTGGATTTACTTACTGATGGTCTTTGCCTACAGAGTTCTAGTGAGGACATAACAAGAAAAGAGAAGAGAGAATGACTCAGGCATCCTCCAGAGCAAAGAAGTGGGAAAATTACAGTCAGTAATAGGAACTAATAATTTTGTATGTGGCTGCTATGACAAGCACACACAGTATGGGTGACTCCTATTGGAGAATATCATCCCACTTGTACATTCGACATTTATAAATTATGAAGGACAAAGAAAATACATAGGCTTTTAGATAGATTGAATGATTATTCAGTAAATAGGCACTTTCTCCCCATCCTCACCTTCTTGAGAAGAGAATACATCCCTGGCCTACTGATATCAGGGCTTCGGCCAATGGAATGTTAGGAAATACAACACGAGAAGATGTTTTGAATGTGTTTACTTGGTCAGGCTTGCCTTCTCCTGCTGTTGCTATCTGCCATGACAGTAATTAATAATCCACTGGTCCAAAAAGGAAGATGAAGACTTATAGAGAAAATCTGAATCTGAGCTGCAGGCGGAAACCAGCCCAAGTTAAGCCTAGCTAGCCAAATCTCAACCAAACAACCAACACAGGGTCAAAAAAAAAATCATTGCTATAGTATGTTGAATGCCACTGAGATTTTGCCATTAACTGTTATTCAGCAATAGCTAACTAACACAATGGTATCAAATACTTTTGTTTGAATTGAAGCTCTATGATTTATTAACTCTATGATATTATCCAAATTACCTCCCCTTTCTGAGTACCAGGTTCCTCAAATGAAAAATCAGGATAATAAGTATTTTATAGTGTTATTGTGAGGACTAAATAATTTAATGGATTGAATGTATGCTAACATTTCTGGAAATATTGGTGGTTGTTGTTATTATTTTCCCAAATTTGGATATATTTTTTTTGCAAAAAGAAATCTGGAAGCACCCATTAAAAACAGAGATGCAGATTTATAGTCCTCTGTGTGAAATAACCATATTGACTTAAATGAGAAGATAAGAGAACAAATCAAATGTATAGTCACACCAGCTCTTCATCTTTTTGAGGATGAAATGATTTATGGTGTCAATTCTATACTACACATCTGTGCAATTAATGCAGTCTGTCTTGCCCACAAAAGAAGTATATATAAAGCAAATAATTTTTTTCTCACTGATTTGATTTCAAAGAAAAAAAATCATATTTAACTTGCCTTTGGTAGGAAGACTTAGAATACACAGACTGGATATAGTAAAAGAGTGAAAAACAAGGCTAGTGAATAACAAAAAATAGGATTGTCTTCTTCCATATTTCACAATTTTGTAAGTCTGAGAGCAAGCTTTTATCAATTTCTCTAAGAATATTTTCCTCTTGAAAACTATCAAATTGTGTTTCCATGTAAATGATAACATAGCCCACCTAGTAATATATTAGATAATTTCAGACTCTGGTGTTATGGAAGAGACATGGGCCAGGATGCTAGGAGCCATCTGTCACTCATAATAGAAAACACAAAACCCGACAAAAAGACAAGTCAGAGTGAAATGAGCTCCCTTATGAGCAAAAAGGGTCAAGAGTCTTGTTTCCTTGGACAGTGTCTTGGACAGTAGAAATTGTTCCAAGGTCACCTATCCCAAAGAATTTCTTTGAATGCCAATTATGTTAATGTAGTGCACCATTAACTGCAGAAACTCCCCTTTTCAAACCTTTCTTGAAAAGGTCTTTGGCATTCTGTGCTTCATCTTTCTGAGTTCTCTCCATTCCTTCTACTGTTCTTTCTCAAGGTGACAGTCCAGGATGCTTTCCAGTTGCCCCCGAACCTGCTTTCTCTCCAGAGGGCTCCTGCTTTAGATTCTCTGCATGAGTCATTCTCTTCACCAATGCTGACTGAGCACTGCCGCCATCAAACTCCATGAAGCTTTATTATATGATAGGCTAGCTTTAGTTAAAGGGAAATTCAGAAGAAACTAATGACTGATAATGCCTATCATTATTAGAAAGGCGTGGAGATAATTCACCTATCTTCACACGTACAGTGTTGAGTCAGTTACTTAGCTTCAGTTTCATCATTTGTAAAATAAGAATGATAATAACCTTATATTATTAATGGATTTGTTCTGCAAAGTCAATGGAATAATTGCACATGCAAAAGTGATGGTTTTTCTTCTTCACAATGCTGTCTACACAATTATCACCCTAGGCATCAAGACATCCATTGGGGTGGGAGGGCCACTAGAGATCTTGCAAGACAAGATGCTTGAAAACACAGATGTATTGAAAAAGGGAGAGAGATTAGAAAGAAAGGTAATTTTCTAATAATCCACTGGTCCAAAAAGAAAGATGAAGACATATAAAGAAAATCTGAATCT